GTAGATCTTGTAATTTGTTATAAGAATAAATGGATGTTTTCTTTTTAACTCCTGGTTGTGATATACTTTCTATATTTAATTAAATTGCAGATCATATTATATAGAAACCTGATACAAAGAGAGCTATGATTATAGAAGGTATTGTCTTGGCTGAATTAAGTGAGAATGATAATCTAACTAAATATTTAATATTACTAGCTCCTCATCTACATACTGTTATTTGTTGTCGAGTTACACCAAAATAAAAAGCTGATATGGTTAGATTAGTGAAAAATGAATTAGGAAAGATTACTTTAGCTGTTGGTGATGGTGCTAATGATGTTAATATGATCTAAGAGGCACATATTGGTATTGGAATATATGGACAAGAAGGTATGAGAGCTGTTTAAGCCAGTAATTATGCTATTGGTTAATTTAAATGTCTTTGGAAATTAGTTTTATATCATGGAAGATAAAATTATATTCGTATTTCTGAAATGATTTTATACTTCTTTTACAAAAATATCATTTTTACTATCCCTCAATTCTATTTTGCCTTCTTTTGTGGATTAACTGGAACTAGTGTTTTTGATGAATTGTAATATATTTTAATCATTTTAGCTTTGTCTCATTTTACAATACAGTATTTACATTCTTACCTGTAGTCATAAGAGCCATTTTTGATGAAGATGTTTTCTATACACAATAAAGAAAACAAACAATATTAGGAAGTAAAAGAATAACTGAAGGAGAAGAAGAAAATGATATACTTAGATAAAGTTATCCATTACTTTATTATATTGGACAAAAAAATACTATCTTTACAAGCGAAAAGTATATAAATTTTAATATTTTTAGATTTTTCAAATGGTTTTCAATTGGAATTTTTTAAGGATTAGCATGTTTCTTTTCATTTTACTTTGAATTAAATGATACTACATTTATTAAATAAACTGGATATAATAATGATTTATGGTTCTTTAGTATGTCTATGTCTACTGCTATCATGATAGTAATCAATTAAATTTAATATTAGCTTGTTACATTAAAGTTAGCTTTGAATACTTAATTTTGGACTATAATTACATGGGTTGCCTATTTAGGAACCAGTTTAGGTACTTATTTTGCCTATATGTGGGTGTCTAATATTATTCCTAAATCTGCAATATATGGAACTACTTAGATGTTATTTTCAAGTTATGCTTTTTATTTAAGTCTTGCATTGTCTGTATTATCAATGTTTATTCTTGATTTATTGATGTTTACAATTAAAGCATCAAAAGATACTTTATTGAACTATATGAAGAGATAGGCTAGATAAAAATAATAATTAGATTCAGCTAAAATATTAAAATTAGAAAAAAAACTCAAGGAACAAATATCAGAGATGGAAATGCCACACTTTGAATTAAATTAAAAAAGAAGTTTGATTAATTCTAATCTATCTCAAAGTTAGAGTGGATTAAAATAAGGATCAAGTAAAAGTAAGGATAGTTATTTGTGAGTTAATTTAAAAATAAATAATTAATCTAAATTCAATTAAAATGATATTTTGAAAATCATTTTCAGAGTTACGTCATTATTAATCTGACCTATTTATAATGTAAAATTGAATTTATTAAAAAATATATTAAAATAAACCAAACTGATATGGGAATTTGTAAATCAAAAACAAAAAATTAAATAGACACTAAATTATAAGGATCCATTGCAAATGTTATCAATAAAGGACCTGAGAAGAATGATATAGAAGCTTTGATAAGAGAAAAAACTTAATCATAAGAATTATATAATCCGTACAGAAATCCAATTCTTAATAGAAGGCTTAAATAGACTACAGCCTGATTGATTCTATTTATATATTGTTTATTGATATCTTTTTATTAATTTCCCTTTTTAGGTACTCTACATTTTACAATTCTCATTTTTAGTATATTTATCATTACGTAAATATATAAATAAATATCTTGATCAATTAATTAAATATAAAAAAAATGGGAACTTGTGCTGCTCAAAAATAAAAAAAGGTTACAAATGATGGAGAAATATCTGAAACCATGTTTAAAGTACGAATGTCTCATGATAGTCAAGCTATTTTGAGAGAGAAAACTAATTAAAAAGGAAGTTTTAATCCATTTAAAAATCCTATAGTTAATAGAAGAATAAAAGAAATACCAGTCTAATCAAATAATTGTTCTTTACTTGAATGAAAAAATATTCTAAATATAGATCTAATTTATGTTAAACTATATAAATTGATTATATATTATAAAAATAAATAAACCATCTTTAAATATAAAAATAATATTTTGTCTAATTTCCTATTTATTTTTAAGATTTTGTAATAGCCATTTCTATATAAAACCTAATTTTTATAAGTTTTATAACTTTATTATGTTTAAGAAAATATAAAAAATTATTTTAACAATTAACTTAGTTTAGTCGTGTTTTTTTATTATTAAATTTATGAAGACTCTGAATATTATATATATGTTAAATACAAACAATATTGTAATGAACTCTATATTTGAAATTTTTATTAAATTGAAAAATTGAATTTTACTATTATTTCAAAGTACTTTATCATTCAGCAATTATTAATTGATATTAATGATTGTGTTTTTAAATAAATAAATAAAAGGAAATAAAATCATAATTTTCAAGAATGAGTGTAAGGAGATTTAGAAGTGGAGGTATGCATGCAAATTCAGAAGAAGAATACTTAAATGTATAAATTTATAGGAAATTCTTTTAGAAAATTGTTAAGTTGGAGAAATAATAAAAGAAAAAAACATATAACTAAGAAGATGAATACTTTGATGGTTTCATTGTAAATTCATAATTTACATTTGATTGCATCGAACAACCTCAACTACCTTAGATCACTTAAAAATCACATTTTATTCTAATTATGATTGATGATTTATATTTAAGTCCTAAAAGACTTTAAAATATGATTGAATACAGTAAGTTCATGTTTAAAGTATTTTTAGCAGATAATTGTGAAACAATGACTCAAAGTACGAATGATGACTCTTCAACTTGGAGTCCATAAATTATGAACTATGACTGTATAGTTCATACATATACATAAGAATGTGTGAATCATCTCTTTAACATATGGATAATAAATACTAGGAATATAAATTCAACTTTTAAATGTATATTTATTAACTAATAGTAGATTGTTATTTCCAGTTATTTGAAGCCTTTATATGTGTAAACAATGTTAAGAGTACTTTATTTTAAGAAGTTTTTGAGGAGATAAAAGAAATAAATAGTAAAGTTCAGTAATTCCATATGAAAGAAAATGATGAGGTAAAGCATTTATTATTATATTAGGCTTCACCTGAAAGAAAATAAATAAATAATCTTTAATAAATTTTAAAAACCTTGATCGATTCGAGAACTCTATGAAGATAGCACATTAAAGTAATTTTTGTTTATTGTTTATGTTTCTATATTATAAATAAGAATTTACATCTATTTATATATAAAATATATATAAAAACTTTTAATTAATAAAATAATTATTTTAATAAACAAAAAATGGCAGATCAATCATAAGCAGAATATTTAAACTTAAAAGTCAAATCCCAAGATGGAGAAGAGGTTTTCTTTAAAATCAAAAAGGCAACTTAATTTAAGAAATTGATGGATGCCTATTGTTCTAGGCAAAATGTATTATGAAGTGAATATTTTAAGCTCCAAATCTAAAATGTGAGATTTTTATTTGATGGAGAAAGAATTTTAGAGACTTAAACACCAGCAGATGTATATTTAAATCTCTATATATTAGATTGGAATGGAAACTGGAGATGAGATTGATGTTGTAATTGAATAAGTTGGAGGCTGGAAAATAATGTGAAAGTATATTATATTTTATAATATATAATTTATACTCTCCATCTTTCTTTACTTATTTGTTAGATTAGCAGTGTATCTACTTAATAGTATAACTAAAATATAACTCTTTTGTTAAATTTAAATGTTTTATATACTCAAATTCCTTTAAATATTAAATCAAAAGAAATCATTTATAATTAATAAAAACCTAATTAAAAGAAATATCACTACAGCCTTATCAAGCTAATAATTTTATCAACTATAATTATTCTTATATATTTTACAATTAAAATATTTATTATCGTTTCTTTAATTAAAGTAGAAATTTTTAACTACTTTGAAATTTATGATATCATTTATCTTTTTTTGTAGTATATTTTAATTAAGAACAATTATACATATTCCTTGAACATCAATACTGCAAATTTACAATTATTTTTATGCAATAATTTCACTATCTATTATAAAAAAAGAATATGAACTAAAATTATAAGAAATAAATTGAAAAATTGATTTCATTTATTTATATAAATCAAAATTTAAATTATTAAATTTGAGAAATCTTATACTGAAGTGACTAATAACCTTTTAATTGATATTCTTATAAAACTAGGTTATCTATATAATTATTTATTTAAATACTAAGTAAGACTTACAATTGTGTTAATTATCTTTAATTCAAATTGAACAATCTTTTAAAAATCTTAAGAAACATGATTATTTTGAAACTTCAATTTCTTTTTGAAAATAGAATTATATCAATAATATTTTTTATTTCTTTCTTTAAAAGTTTTACTTCTTTTAAGCATGATAAAATAATAAGAAAATATATATTCCTAATATTCAAAAAGTTGATATTTGTAATACTAAATATGTAATTATTTAAATGTAATTAATAAACAATTATCATTTAAAAAATTAATATTTTCTAATCTCTCTATCATTAAATTATAATTTTAATAACCATCTTTTTATTATTAAAATAAATCATAAGATATACATTATTTTAATATTTAAAATTAATTAATTTAATAAAAATATCTAAGAGATTATAAGAGATGAAAATAAATCTATTTAATAGGTAGTGAACATTAATAATATATAAAATAAGACAATATTTAATATACGTATTATAAAATGAATAGGAATTGTACTATTCTTATATTATTCATACATCATAAAATGAAATCTTAATCATAAGGTTCAGGAATATTAAAATATTATTCTGATTTAATTGATTATTCTTTAACTATAGGTTTTCTTTTATATTAATCTCTAATTTATTAATCATCATCTGATTTATTATCTTCTTCATATTATTCTTTATGTGTAATTTTAACTTAATTTTAGAGTTTTTATGGTTTTTATTGTTAATAATAAGATGATATACTTTATGCAATTTAATTAGAATAAAGCCAATCTGGTTTATAATCTTAACCTAAAGCATGTCTATGACACAACATTCTAAACCTTTCATTATCTAAATATTAATTAGAAGGATCCAATTCTTTCCAACAATAATAGTGAATCCAAACATTACATTCTTTATTATTACATTTCATAGTTGCTCCTCTTCTCTTGCATAAATAACAAAATGTATCATAAGCAATTCTTACTGCATTACATAAAGATTCAAAATCTATAGATCCTTTTACTTCATCACAATCCACCATAGAAGACCAATATACACAAAGATCATGAAAGTAAATTCCAGTTCTTTCTACAAGAAATTATTTCTCTTTTCTATTTGCAACAGCTTTTTTAAATGCTTCAAATAAATGGAGATCTAATGCAACAGGTCCATATAGATCTCCATATTTACAATTCAAAAATTCTTTAATTCTAGCAAATTTTGGATGACATTTACAAATAATACAAGCATTTCTTGGTTCTACTACCCAATTTCTTGGTTTAAATCTTACATAACTTAGATCATGATACCACATTTTATGTCCAGCTACAATTGATATCTTTTCTACTCTTCCTACTCCTTAATTACAAGGTTCTTCAACTGGATTAGATTCAGATTTATATCTCTTTAATTTTTTGAATGGATTATTGTCTGGTCTATCAATTATAAACTTTTCAAATATTTTATCTTCTTCAGTTAAACTTTCTGATTCAAAAATGATAGAATTAAATGTTGTATTTTAAATTAAATCCAACCCATTTTTGAATTGAAGATTCAATACATTATATGATTCAGGTTACATCATCTTTGTATCTAATGATTATCTTATTTATTTCAATTAATTTAATATAGGTTCTAAGAAATTCTAATACAATCTCTCATTAGGAACAAATAATAGATTAGATTAACATGAAGCTACTGAAATTAAAGATAATCTTTTTTATTGAAAACACATTCTTTTAAGAACTCCTTACAATTATTCTTAAAATAATGGTTATTAAGAATCTACTCCATAAACATAATATATCAGATTGTTTAGTAAACAAACATCATTTGATATTTATCTATATTTTTCAAATTAAGTTTTAATCTAATTCAATTTCTCATTAAAATATTCTATCTAAATTTCTAATTCTTCAATAATAGCCATTAAACTAGAAGTAGTACGACCTATAAGAGGATCTATTTAATTTGGAGTTTTATATTTTCCATCATAATTGACTAATCTTTTAAGTATATCCAAAAATTCATTAGCTTCTACAACATTATGATTTTCATGTAATTTTCTACACAATTTACATATAAATCCTTAACTTAAACAAGTAGGTGTTAAACAAACCAAATTTAAGTATTCTGAAGTGTGTAAGCAACAAGTTGTATTTAATAATGGTACTTATTCTACTTTAGTATTCATAAGTATATAAAAAAATTAAGGATTATTTCTAATAATGGAAAATTTATTTAATAAAATCATTCAAATTATTATATATTATGATACCCTTTTTTAATTGTTATTATTACTATTAACTATTTCTTAAATAAAATAATATTCGAATTTATGTAATTATTATATTATTTTTATGTTAGACAAAGCCCTTACTTATTGTTTACAAGAAGAAACTCCTGTATCTATTGCTGATATTATGCAAATCTAATAGGATCAACAAATAAATCATAAATAACCAAGAATTCTAGCACAACCTATTAAATTAGATTTTCAATAATTTCAATAAAAATTTATTAAGTAATCATCCATTAAAGACATGATCAATCAATCAAGTTAAGAATTCAAATAAACACCGAAAATTACATAAGACTTTACTCCCTACCAAAGTGGATGGTAAAAAAACATACTTAACAAATATTATAATCTCAATACAGGAAATAATAGCTTTTGCAACAGTATTAATTTATATACAATAGAAACAAGAAGAAGAGCATATTCGATATAGATGAATACAAAGAAAGTTAATTTAAGAATAAGAGATATGTCAATGTTTACAGAGAGAAAATTTAAATTAGAATCCAATAATTAGTTCTGATTTTTAAATAATAAAAATATTATCTAATATATTATTGAAACTATTTATTACAATTTTAAGTTTGAAATAACTCATTTTTATTATAGTTTTAACTTTAGATAATAGTTTCTAATATTCTAATCTGCTTTAAGAGGTAGTATTATATTTATTCAAGTAACATAATGGTTCATATCTCAATAAAATAATAAAATTATAGTTTGTAAATAAATAGTAAATCAATTAATTATATAAGAAGAACTTCATGAATTAAATATTCAATTTTCAAAAAATCTATTTAAGAAGGTTCATCATACCAATAATATATTTCTATATAATAATTTTAAGATAAAAAACATTATTTAAATAATTAGAACAGATAATCATTTAATTAATATTTCAAATATCAATTCACTAAATACTAAGGAACATATAATTTTTTTAATTTTATTTGCTAACAAAAAATTAATTACTAAAGCATGTACAAAATTGAGAAGGACTAAAATTTAATTGTCTTCTTTTTCTATCAAAAATTATGATTTTTACAGTTGAAATTTCATATTTAATATATAAGTTATAAAATTAAAAGAATTATTTAAAGAAAATGATGATAGATTTTTATTAGATTGAATTTAAAAAAATTTTTATAAAAAGAAGAGTAATTTTTTAAGAATTAATATTTTAATAATATCTATCATAATTCTTGATAAATATACTCTATTTTTAAGTTAAAATATAGTATTAAAATAATTATTTCTATTGATAAATTACTTTTAATGCCTCTTTTTTATAATTTCTATATCAAATTGACAATCAAATATTCCCTAATGCTTTATCTACTTCTCTTTATCCTTCTTCAACTGCTTTTAATGTAAGTCTTATTTTTTCTTTATCTTTCTTCTTTAAGAATTCAGCCAAAGCTTTTTCTCCTTCAACTTTTGCAAATTCTGGCCATTCTTTTTCATCCTAAAAGAACTTCTCATTCAATACAGGATGCATAACATCATTTGTATCTTCAAACTAAGAAATTGTATTAAATTTACCTTATCTTTCAAAGAATCATATTCTCTTAATTTTCTTAATTCTTCTGGATTCATTTCATTTGGTGTTCTTATTTTCAAAAATGTTAAATCTTTATGTCTAATTTCAGGTGGATGCCATACAACTGCAGGTCTTCTACTAAACCTTTATGCTCTTCTTGAAAAATTGTGAGGTTTAGCTTTTAAAACATGTGGTATCTAAATATTTTGCAAAATATAAACTTCATAAGAAGGATCATTAATTTTAGTGAGCATTAATTTTCTTAAATATTCACCATAAATAGAATCTAAATCTTAAGGTTTAGTCAATAAAATATAATTATCGAAACTACCAGCTTTTCTAATACATTTCATTGTCTTTGTAGTAACTTTAACATGTATTCTTCTACCTAATATTAAGGATTCATATGTTTATTTTTGAACATTAGGCATCCAAGATCGACGAGTTCTATTTATGAATAGATATACTCACTTTTTTTCTGAAAAGCAAGTCTAATTTCCTGATTTAGGTTATTTGCCATGCCATAGACAAAATTGACTCATTATAGTATGTTTTGGGATTTGTTTTTGACATATTCTTTTAATTAAGGCTGTATCTAATAATTATCTTGGGGTCAATTAGGATATGCTTTTGGTAGTTGGATGAGCATTTAGCCAATAATAAAATGAAGGACGGTGACTTAATTATTTGATACCTTTAAGTAGGACATTCATTATTTATTAATAAAAAATAAATATAAATATTAGTTTTGTATATTTATATAAGGAATAATAATATTTTTAGTTTAACGATATTTATTAATCTTGTATTCTGAAGGATATTGATATATATACATAAAATATCAAATTTAATTACTACCAGAATTTTGATTTAGTAAGTAATAGAGTTGTTAGAAATTATTATTAAGAAAAAAAGTATGTGTTTTTATTTTCCTAGCTCTTTTTAAAACATACATTCAATCAAATAATTTATATCTGTTTGAATATTAATTAATGATAAATCAATATTATTAATAATGGACTTATATTAACATTCTTATACACTTCCACCTAAAAGATTATGCAAAGAGCCTAAGTTAGCAATCTCTATTTTAAAAAGAAAGTTCGTAGAACCAATATAAGACTTTGCTGGTGTTCGAAGAACTAGAACAAGTTTCTCACCTTAAAGAAGAATGAAATCAATTTAAACTAGATAAAAATCTGCAATATAAACATTTAATTTTGAAGTAGGATAGATAATAGTTCCTAAAAGAAATTCTCGAGTAACTAGATTTTAAGGTCCCAATTTTCCATTTAATCTAAATTACTTGATAAAACAAATGAATGCTTTAAAATGATTATTTATTATTTTTTATAATATGTCTAGTATGTTAAAAATAATTAATATAGTAAAATAACTTTGGAGTTCAAAAAAGAATAAGAACTGAAGGTGATTAGGAAAATATATAAAAATAGAAAAGTGTTTTATAAAGCCAATTGTTTTTATAAAAAGTCATTTACAAATTTATCTAGAATGATTTTTAGTACTCGTTTCAAAGTGAAATCAAAAGAATCTACGATTATCTCAATAAATAATATGAGTTTGGATAAGTTGTTAGAATTATTATGTTTATCAACTTAAGATTTAAGGGAGAGATTTCTTAAACAATCAATAAAACATAAAAAAAATAAAAATAATCAATAATAATCATTTACCTATTGATTTTTTTTAACCTATAGAGTGAAATACAAAATTGATTTTTAATGATTTTATATATAATTATAATTCAAATTTGAATTGTGGTTAAGTATGTCTGCCCAAAAAAGTAAGTAGGAATACTCTAAAAGCAAGAAGGTTTCAATAACAAAAGAATAGAATGACAGTGGTTTTTTGATTGTGAGTCCTATGAAGGAACTATCACCAATAAAGGAGAAAATAAGTGAAGAGTAAAAGTGTATAGAAGTTGTTGAATTTGGATGGTAAAGACACAAATTAGGAGGGGAAATAAGGTATTTAGAGCAGTTTTATATTGAAAATCCAAATTTATAAAAATCTGATATCTAGCGCCTAGATTTAGATAGTTGTTTAGATGAATAAGGAAAGCCTGTATATCGTAAGACAACTTAAGCGTTGATGTAAAATATGGCATTAAAAATCTAATCTCGAATATCAATGGCAGGAGAGTAAATTTATTCATCGATTCCATTACAATAGGCATGTTTGAGTGATTATCACTGTTTCAAAGGTGATTATGGTAAAGATTGGAAGGGTCATTAAGTAATAAAGAGCAAAACGTTGAGTGGAACAAAAAGAGCTTAAACATCAAGCAAAAAAATAATATAATAATGATTATAATTAAAACGGATTTTGTATTGTTTTTATTGGTACTCACAGTTGTAGGAGTGTAGATATCTGCTAGTCCTGAAGCAAAAGTCTATAATTGTGCTAATATTGAAATGATAGAATTGATTGGTGGTGATCCATTACCAATAGATACAAGCAAAGAAAGATATGTGAGTTTTTAAGGTGATGTAAGATTCTCTGTTAAGACTCACAAATAAACTATGGATAGTTTAAAGGAGGGAAAGGATTATTTTGGAACTAATTCAATTCACTATAGTTCAATTTAGAATGGAGTTTATATATTTGTAGTTGAAAAATCTCAAGAAAACATAATTTAAACATATATCAAAACAAATTTAAAGAGATAATATAAGTAAGCTTAAATACCTAAAGCATTTTATTTGAAAACAATAATAGAAGGAGATAAAAAATATGCAATACATTAAATTGTAATTAGTGATAAATAAGAAATGAAGAGAGAATTATTTAAAGAAGAAAAAGAAACTATGCAATCTGTAATATTTATTTAATATTATAGTTTACTGGTTTACAATTTTCAAAGAAATGTGTGATCATTGTATTTGCAACATTGGAAACTGGAACAAATACTGATTTTACTGCAGATGAATCATTCTTATAAGGAATTTAAGGAATATTAGATGATATTAATAAAGGAAGTAAATAAATTTTAATCAATAAGAAAAGTGTGATCAATTTTATTGTAAACCACCTTCTATTACCAATCTAGCTGAAGCTTTATCTGATCTTCCAGTCTTAAAAATTACATGCCAAAAGAAAATGTGTGCATATTCTTAAGGAGGATAAACAAAAGTGCTTTTCACAAAATGTATTATTATAATTCTAAAATAATCTAGATCCTTTTTTATAGACAGATAAAAATTTTAGATCACTTGAAAAAGCAGTAAATGGTATGTTATTGACAACTATCTCACCTAAAAATTAAAAGTTTGTTTCTATTACAGCCTAATTAGCAATGAAGTGTAACATTTAAGATTTTGATTTCCATTCTGGGGGATATAGTGGAGCATTTCAATCAATAAAAATTGGAGATTAAAAACTTTATAGTGCATTAATTATAGAACCTGGATACAATGGAATTAAAAGAAAATTACGTACTTAAACACCTGAATGTAATATTCTATTAGTAATTACTAGTATATGATTTATTAGAAGGAATTGAGAAGGTTAAGTCTATATATTATTTTATGATCATCACAAGCAAAGGACCTGAAGAATTATTTAATGAAATAGTTTCAGTCATAGAAAAAACTAAAATTTCAGATTAAAAGAAATTTGAATGCACTCCTATTCCAAAAGAGGATGATATATCATTCATTTAATTGAATTCAAAACTTAATACTTTAAAACCATAACATAAACAAGATGAAAATTCTGAAGAATATGAATATGTTTATGAATATGCTTATGATGAAATTAATGATGATGAACTTGGAGAATATGAATATATCTATGAATATCAATATGAAGAAGTACCAGAAGAATTAAATTAATAAGAATTCTATGAAGAAATTAATGATATATAATCAGATTCAATTGAATTTGATTAATCAACAGATGATGATTCAGATTCAGAAGATATTGAAAATTAAAATATTCCATAAGCTGATTTATTAGAGGTTTAATAAAATGAAATGTGTTTCTATGCATTTTCAGAATGTGATTACTAAGGTGCTTCACTTAAAATTTGTGGACCTACTCCAAGCATTCCTAGAGAATTATAGAACTTTTTAATTTAATCTATAAAGATGCCTGATTAGATGCGAATTACATTCTATACAAATTAATAACAAAAAATCACAATTGAAGGAGATTAAGAATGTTTGTAGAGACCTTTTGAAATTGATTAGATGAGACCTTAAAGATAACTGTTGAGTCATCAATGATAATGCAATATTAGATGAACATTGTTATTAAATCATTTAATAAATTATATATTATCATGGCTGAAGGAAGAGAGAACTGGGCTGTTGATGAATTATTAAAGGCCGAAGAGGAAGCTAATAATATTATTAAGACAGCTTAGAAGGAAAGAGAGAAGAAAATAAAAGAAGCTAAAGTAGCAGCTGATTAAGAAATAGCAGTATTTCGTAGAGAAGAAGAAACCAGATATAATCAAGAAATTCTTAGAGTATTAATAAATAATAATTATAGCGTTTTGGATCAACAAAAGAAGAGGAAGAATTAGAAAGAAAAACAAAGGCAGAAATTGATAAGATATATCTAGATTATGAAGCAAATAAATTGGCAGTTGTGGATATGTTAATTAAAAGAGTGATTGAAGTGAAATTGGAAGTTCCAAGAGTAGTAAAAGGATAATTTGAATAACCATAACAAAATTTATGAGATAAGATGATGAATTCATATAATTATAAATAATGAGTGGTAAAGATTTCTCATAATTTCTTTCAAACAAAGACAATTAATCAATCTAGGAAAGTGTGAAAAAGAGTATAGATCCTAATCTATTCATCAATGAACAAACTCTTAAATAAATAGAAGCAGAAACCAACAAGCATTTTTGGATCAATTACTTTACTCAATCCATTCTTACAACATTCATTGCTCCCTTAACTACCATATATACATCTTTATAATTGTCAGTTATCCCTCATTAAAATAAATATGGTGATTTACCAGATGAATCAGGCACTAAAACATCTACATAATTAGTAAAAACAACAAGAGATATTCAACCTCATGAAAAGAGGAAATTTGAATTATTGATTAAGAGTGGTGCTGTTGGAAGCAATAAACCATTTAGAGCTCCTATANTATGAAGAATTACCAGAAGAATTAAATTAATAAGAATTCTATGAAGAAATAAATGATATATAATCAGATTAAATTGAATTTGATTAGTCAACAGATGATGATTCAGATTCAGAAGATACGGACAATCAAAATATTCCAAAAGCTGATTTATTAGAGGTTTAATAAAATGAAATGTGCTTCTAAGCTTTTTCAGAATGTGATTTCTAAGGTGCTTCACTTAAAATTTGTGGACCTAATCCAAGTATTCCAAAGGAGTTATAAAACTTTTTAATCTAATCTATAAAAATGCCTGATTAAATAAGAATTACATTCTATACAAATTAACAATAGAAAATCACCATTGAAGGAGATTAAGAATGCTTATAAAGACCTTTTGAAATAGATTAAATGAAACCTTAAAGATAACTGTTGAGTCATTAATGATAATGCAATATTAGATAAATATTCTTTATTAAATCATATAAATAAATTATATATAATCATGGCTGAAGGAAGAGAGAACTGGGCTGTAGACGAATTATTAAAGGCTGAGGAAGAAGCAAATAATATTATTAAGACAGCCTAGAAGGAAAGAGAGAAGAAAATAAAAGAGGCTAAAGTAGCAGCTGATTAAGAAATAGCAGTATTTCGTAGAGAAGAAGAAACCAGATATAATCAAGAAATCTTAAGAGTTTTATTAAATAATAATTATAGCGTTTTGGATCAACAAAAGAAGAGGAAGAATTAGAAAGAAAAACAAAGGCAGAAATTGATAAGATATATCTAGATTATGAAGCAAATAAATTAGCAGTTGTGGATATGTTAATTAAAAGAGTGATTGAAGTGAAATTGGAAGTTCCAAGAGTAGTAAAAGGATAATTTGAATAACCATAACAAAATTTATGAGATAAGATGATGAATTCATATAATTATAAATAATGAGTGGTAAAGATTTCTCATAATTTCTTTCAAACAAAGACAATTAATCAATCTAGGAAAGTGTGAAAAAAAGTATAGATCCTAATCTATTCATCAATGAACAAACTCTTAAATAAATAGAAGCAGAAACCAACAAGCATTTTTGGATCAATTACTTTACTCAATCCATTCTTACAACATTCATTGCTCCCTTAACTACCATATATACATCTTTATAATTGTCAGTTATCCCTCATTAAAATAAATATGGTGATTTACCAGATGAATCAGGCACTAAAACATCTACATAATTAGTAAAAACAACAAGAGATATTCAACCTCATGAAAAGAGGAAATTTGAATTATTGATTAAGAGTGGTGCAGTTGGAAGCAATAAACCATTTAGAGCTCCTATTTATACTACTTATCGTGAAGCCATTTAAGGATTGACAAATTAGGGATGGTAGGCATTTTACAAAGGGAATTTAATTGGCATTATTCATTTATTAGCTAATAGTCATTTGAAGATTAAATTATTATCAGACTTAGATTTTAAATTAGGAGTTATGTGGCATGAAGGAAACTAATTATTACGTTAAGCTGTTATACTAGGATTAGCAACTATTTCTGATGTTATTAGCAATCCATTTATGTTATTTTAATCTAGATTCATATTACAAAATAGATTACCAAATTTTTATTTGTATAAGAATTTATTGAGTGCCTTCAAAAAGCATGTTAGACATAAGAAAGAATATTTTTAAGGATCTACTACTTATTTGTATAAAAATGGCCTTATCTTTTTGGTGCAAGTGCCTATATAATTCTCTTAAAAATTAGAGTAATTCTAGATGCTATATTTATACCTTTCCTATAATCTAATTAGTTATCCATTTCTAACCATAGTAAGAAGATTGCATTGTTAAGTATGTTTATGTATAATTTTTAAACTAGTCTACATTACCTGGGATGATCCCAATCAGGTACTCAGGACCTTTTCATGCATTGAGATTGATAACTCAAGAAGAAGGAATTAAAGGTCTATATAGAGGATTTGGGTTATATTTGATAGGGAGTGGTCTATTACAATACATAATGTTTGGAACTTAAATAGATTAGGGAGATTTTTGAAATAATTTGTTTATAATTTATGGCATAATCATTTGCAATCTTATAAAATTCGTTCAAACATTTCGGAGAAGGACATTATAAAGAATCTATGGAGTAATCTACAATTTAAGTCTAGGGAATTGCAGAAATTTAAACAGCTTAAAGAGTAGTCTGATTAAAATCAATCAATGGTACAAATTAATGAAAATATCATACTTTGCGAATACAATATAACTAGGGATGCCAACGCCTGTATTTCAAAATTAGATGAAATCATTGATGAAATTAGAAAACCATAAACATAAAAGAGTAATTATTAAAGCCAGTGTATAATTTTAGAAAAGAAATAAGATGATGATAGTATTTTGCAATACAATAAAGCAATCATGTTATTTTTGAGTGGGAAGATTAGACAAGCTCACAATCTCTTGAAATAATTGAAAGACAACTATAATCTTGACATTTACTTAAATATTAAAGTCAATCTACTTTTAGTTGAAACATCTTTTCAATTATAAGAATATGTATATGCAAGTGAATTGTACAAAAAATTATCCTCTGAAGATACCTTTAAGTCATTATAACAAAAAAATTCAAAGGCAAATCAAATTGATGATTAATAATAATAGTCATCCTAATAAATCTATACATCGCTGTTGATAGGGTCAGATTTACCTTATCCAGATTAGCATCCAAATACATTTAGTAAAGAAGAATTCTAGTTTTTATTAAATGTAATTAAATTTCGCTTTTATATGCTTTCTAATTCTAAAGATTGGAAGAAATAGCTAATAAATTTAGAATAATCATTTAAAAACTACATAATTTAATTAGATTAATCAAATGGAATGGCATAAAGTATGGTCCCTTAATTTTCATAAGAAATATAACCATACTTAAAATTGTAAGCTTAAATGATTTTGAAATTGATGAAAGCCTAGAAACATTTAACACTCAATGAAAATGTTTAGTGTATAAAAATGATAAATCCATAATCTGAAATTTAAAATCAATAAAATTTAGAATTCACTAAATAGAAATAATTCTTATATTTGGCTTAAATTTATAATAATCTTGGTTGTGTACATGCTAAAATGGGAAAATATGCACTTGCTGCTGTTTATTTTCATAAGGCTATATCTTAAACTAAATTAGTTCAATAATAATCTAATCTCTATGAAGGTATTATTATGACCAATGTCAAATAAAGATTATATGCCATGTATTAAAACTTAGCAGATGCTTTATTTATGGATTAATAATATTAAAAAGCTCTTAATATTTATAATCAACTATAGGATTTGTGTAATTAAAGTGCTAAATTTTGGTATAACAGAGGAGTATGTTTCATTTAAATTTATCATGATTCTATGCCAGATAAAAATGAATTATATGAAATTTCAGAAGATCATTAATAATTAAATGCTTAAGATGAAGGCAAAAAGATTATTCTTTAGAGTAAAGAAATCTATAGTGATGCCGATGAGGAAGTGTAGGATTAGTTTTATAAAATTGATTAGAAGAATGAAGAAAATAAATTTGTTTAATCTAAAGCCAATAAAGAGATACTAAACAATGCTATAAAGTAAGATAAATAAAATCTATTAGAGATCTTTTCGTAATGCAATAATTTTATCAAAAAAAGAAAAAAGAGAGGAAATCATTCATTTAGATTAAGATTAATTACAAATCTTAGGTTCTTAAATATTTGAGTCATCTATTGTGTTTTTAACTTATTCTTTGCTTTGTAGAGGAGATTATAATTTAGCATTATCATAAGGAAAAGAGGCATTAGAATATAATCTATCAGATAATAATAAATTCATAATTATTCAATATGTTTTAGAAGCATATATATAAATTTCAAAAGTTAAGGATGCCCTCAATTTCATGAACAGTAGTAGTGTGTCTTAATTTTTAAATAAATTTAATAATAGCAATTTATAATTTTAATGTAGAAATACAATAGGAATTCAAACAACTTGTATTGCAAATTATGGACCTAAAGCAATCTATCATTTTAACTTATCAGTTCTTCATCTCCATAATAATAATATTACTTTAGCTTGGAATTCAATTTAAGCTATGATGAATTGCTGTGAAATTAATATCAATTCAAGCAATGTAGCTATTCCAATTCCAATTTTAAATTTATTAATTTGGTATTACTTGAAATCAGGTAAAATTAATTATTAATTTAGATAATGTTTAACTTGCAATCCATTTGATCAAGAGAAGAAGACTATTAACAGGATAGATGGGAAAAAATAAAATATCTCTGTTAAATATTACAAAATGATATAAATAGTAAATAATAATTAAATCATTCTTTTTATATTTAGAATTAATATAATTTAAATATGTAAAATATTTTCAATTTATAAACAATAATAAATATGTTTTATGTTACTCACACTAAATTAAACTTGAAAAATCTCTGCTTAATTATAGAAGTAATAAGAATACAATAATCAATAATAAATATTAATATTTATAATTAAATTATTAATCATTAACATTATATACATGATTTATAATTCTCATTAAATCAAATCAGCAATTTAGACAATTAATGGTGGAAATCCTACTAAATTATAAAAGTTTTCTTATTCTTGAGCTGATTGCAACATTCTATTACAAGTAAAACAAATTTTATTATAATATTTTGTGTTTGCTCTTAAATAATTTATCAATTACTAAGTTATTATTAAATATTCTTACTTAATTAGAATTATCTAATGTTTCAACTTCAAGACGATTATAAACTTAATCTCTAATTTCTAAGCATAATGGACAATAGTTTTGCTATTAAAGTGGTTTGAGAGTTATTTTTTCTGCTGAGCTCAAAATAGTAAAGGTTGTTGAGGGGAAGCCTTCTTATAATTTATCAATAAATTATTCAAGCAAGTGATCAATATTACCATGAGCTGGTTTCTAATTATTAACCTTATAATATTACATTTTTAACATTATTGCTTAAATGTTATCCTAAGATAAAATTTGGAAAATTTATGTTAGATTTTAATCTCAAATAATACAAAATATCTTTATTGAGTAATTCTTTAAGTGGATGTAAGATTTGTAATTTTTATTAGTTGAGAGGGTAGATAAATGAGAAATTATATTTGGTAGCTGATTATAAACTAAGTCCTCTTCCTTTGGATAATTAAGAAAATAAATCAGCTGCTAATCTTTATCCATTTTAACCTAAGCATACCTAATTTATTAATTTAGATTTACATTTTAATATCCATTTTTAATTGCATAATCATAAATGATATATTATTTGATTAAACGAACAAAATCTTCTCTTGCTGATCCAAATTCTGATAAATTATGAAGCTATTTAAGAATAATATAAGGATCTGGGTATATGGATTGAATATCAACAATTTGGAAAGGTAATTTGCACTCATTAGTTACAAAATTAGTGTAATCTTAGGGTTACTTAAAAATTCATATGTATAATTACATATTCTTATATAAATTCTTTCATAATAAAACTTTCATTTATGTACAAAACATGAACTTCAATAAACATTTTGCTTTTGTTATGAGCACAAGTTGAATGTACAACATCACTCGCCATTTTGACTAAAGCTGTTGAATTTCTTATAATTAAATAAATTAATACTATCCTCCAGAGAAGCAAACCAATAATTTTTCATTTTTCTAAGTTATATTACATTTAAGTCTCAAAGACATTTTAAACATATGTTCAACATATCCTATAAAGCATTCCTTACAAACAGGATCTTTTTATATGATAATGTTTGGAATGTTGGTTTTACACTTTTTACAAATTTTAGGTTCTTTTTATTACATAAAATAAATATTAAAATATGAAAGGAAAGAAAGTGTTAGATGATGATGAGGAATTTTTAAGATCAAAATCATAGATAGTAATATTATAATATAAAATATAGGATGTATTTCCAAAGTGGTAAGAATTGAAACCATTAGGTAAAAATATACATAGAAGATCTTATCATTCATGTGTAGCTCATGAAAATTAGTAAAGATTAAATATATATTGTTAAGTCTTTATGTATATGGAGGATACGAAACAAATGATGGAATTTTGAGTGATTTTTGTAGAATTCCATCACCTGTTTCACAAAAGCCTTTTTGTTGGTCAACCTTAACTAAGAAAGCCCCTGCTGATAAATAATAAGATTTAATTCCAGGACCATTAAGAAACCATACAGCAATAGTTCATTAGAATAAAATGTATATGTTTGGAGGAAAAGAAAACTTGATGTCTCCGACTAGCAAATTATGGATATATGATTTTTAATAAGAAGTTTTTATTGATGGAAAGGAATGTATAATTGAAGGTAAGAAAATGGCAGTGGAAGGGCATTCAAGTTGTTTATGGAACGAACAGGTAGAAATGCAAATAATAATATTAGTAATAAATGGTTGTCTTTGGAGGATTTTACAGTGACACTGGATATAGATCATCAATATTATGTTATGATTTATAGAAGGAAGATTGGACAATGATATTTAAAGGAGATAATAATGCAGCACAATTTCCAAAAGGAAGAGCAGAAGCAGGAGTTACATTAATTGGAAATACATTATATGTATATGGGGGATGCAATTATGAATCAAGATTTGGAGATTTTTGGAAATTTGATTTGGAAAATAGATAGTGGGGATTAATAGTAACAGAAAAATCTCCAGGAGTAAATAATTTTAGTTATTATTTTATAGACAAGATCATCTACTTCTTTATTAATTCATCCTTAAGGGATTATGTTATTTGGAGGAATTCATGATATAACTCATGAGAAGAATGATTTGTGGTTATACAGAGGGAATGAATGGATATAATTGGAAGAAGATACTAGTAGAAGACAAGTGGCAGATGAAATGCTTAATGATTCTGCTTTTGACAAAGCAAGTTAAGCAAGACCATAAAAGAAAGAGAAAGGTAGAAATGAACCTAGATCCTTTTTATTATTGGATGATGAGCCAAAAAATTCTATTCATTAAAGAAGAAATTCTGTTAAAAATCTTGATTAAAAGTAACCTACTGACACAGTCAATAATTTCTAATTAAATAGTATGGATGAATAGAAAAAGAAAAGAATGCAATAAAAGAAAAATTAAATGCTGTATCATTATAAATATTATGAAAAGGGCTGAATTTGAATTGAATGAAGAAGAAAAATCAAAATATAGAAGTTCTTCACCAACTACTGATTAGATCAAAAATTCAATAAGTGTGATCACTAATTAAGAAAAATAAGGAGGGTAAAGAAAGATACAATCACCAACAGGAAAAAAGAATGCAATTTAAGCATCTCTTAATGGAAAGAAACCATGTGCAAGAGATGGTCATAGTGCTATTGTAATGGGTGACATAATGATAGTATTTGGTGGAGACAGAAATTTGATGTCATTCAATGACATCTATATGTACTCGTTCAATTAAAAATGATAATCTTTAATCGTTATGAAGAACTTAATATTCAATATAAAAAGTATTTGTTAAATATATTATCATATTAAATTTTATTAAATTATCAAATAAACAAAAAACCATAAATATATATATTAGATTTGTTTTATTTACTAGATTTATGTTAGAATAATATAATATTTAAATTAGAATGAAAAATTAGTATATTCTAATGAAATATCATTTTGCTAATTTAAATTATCTTTAAGTTATTGGAACAGATTTAGGTGTAATTATTATTTATGCTCTTTCCCCTTTAAAAGTTATGGATCTCTCATTTTTACTTTTAGGTCTATAAGGTTAAGAAGGTAGAGCTTAATTCATTTGAAATCTATCTGTTCTTTTAATTCTTGCAGATTACATTCTGATTACATTTTATTAAGTCAAAATAGTAGCCATAGTATGTTATTTGGTTTAAAAGAATTTAGATTTAGAAATTTACATCATACATTATGACTTAACTTCTTCCTATTTTTATTGAAATTCTGGATTCATCCTTTCAAAGATATCATTATAGCATTTTGTACAATCAATTGAAACATTAGTTTATTAGATTTAATTTTTCATCTTAATTCTATGATTAGTCTCTATCGATTTATATTATTAAAATTCATTTTATTCAGTTCTTATTAAACTCTTACGTCGTTTATATTGACTAGAATTATATTTATGTTCAAATTCTGCTTATTAAGAATCCTATAATAGTCCTTTCATTTTTTTATTAAATGAAATATTATTAGTTGGTTCTACATTTTGAGAATCCTATATTTATTCTTCTATCTATTAAACTATACCAATTTCTTCTTCTTCTTCATCCTTTTCTTATTATTTTTATAATTCTTTTTCTAACTCTTCTTGTTAGAATTATTTTTCTGCTTATTCTAGTTCCATTTCAATCAATTAATTATCATAATCAGTTTATTTTAATTATTCATTTTTTAATAACATATATGAATTAAGTTCACATGCAGCATCTTAAAGAGGTTTATTAATATCATATATGTCAGTCATAGTGAATGCATTAACATCAACATTAGAATACATTTTTTTATACATTATTTATCTTTTTGCTAACTATTATACTAATTCATGAAGCATATCATAATCTTAAACTTTTAAAGATGATATTTTTTATTCAAATTATTTTAAATGTAAATCTACTTTATCCAAAAAATATTTAGAATTTTTTAAATTAATTTCCAAATAATTAAGACCAACTTTATTTTTAACAAATTTGAATATTTTATTAAAATACTCAACAATATTTTCTAATTAGACATTAGTTTATTAAGTTGCTATTCTTGTTGATAATTACATATCAAAATTATACTTTAAATTAGTATAATTAGATTTTAATGTTTATAATTCACCTTAACTTTCTAACATATTTAATTAAGTTTCAATTAAAGTTTAATTCTAATTTTTGAATTCTTATTTTAAAATATTAATTCTATTATCTCTTAATCCATAAACATTTGTTGATTTACATGATCTATCATTTGATAGAGCTCTTCTTGTATTCTTTTAATTTAATAATTTCTTTATTTTTGCTAAATAGATCCATTTATATAATGCATGTCCTTTAATACATTTTCTAATCCAAATTTATTAATCCTTATTTGAAATTAAATCTAATGCTTCTTACAAATTTTGTCTCTATTAATCTCTATCTTAAATTACTTTAACATATATTTACATGTATTAAATTTAATTTCGTAGATTTATTCTACACTTGATTTTATATAAGTTTTCACTTTTAAAAAATCTACTTTTTTTTATTCTTCTTAATCTTGTAATAGATACTTTAATTCATCAATTTCTTTCTTTTTCATATTCATTTCCCTTGTTAATTGTTCAGTAAATTTTAATTATTGCTCTATATAATCATGTAATGATTACCTTCTAATTGAGATTTAAATTCTTAATAAATTCTACCAGAAGCTTAACTATTATTGATACATCTATCAATTAATACATAATCTATTCCATAACCTTATTTTCTTTTTTCAAAAATTTCAAAAATTTATTATGTTCCTATCACTTCTTATACACCTTTCCAAAATCTATATAAATCTTTGTCTATTTATAAAATAGCCTTGATTTAAGATTCTATTTCTGCACTACCAATGATTTTTTTTACAAGTTGCTTCAATTTTTCAATCTCAGAAAGGTATTTTTAATTGGATTAAGTTAGTCTTTAAATTTATAATCTAAATTATTGGGTAACATCCAATATCTTGTTGTAGATAAATTATCTAATAATTGGATCCAATGTATTTGTATAATCATAATAGGAAGCATCAAAAATTTCTTCATTAGGAAATAAGTCCTTTCTCACAAACATCTCCCTTAAATGTTGTACATCTTTCAAATAACCAATTGTCATTTTTTGAATTAATTCATCCCTCATTCTTACTTTTTCATCTATTGCTAATATTGATTCCTACAATACAGGATTAGTTGACTGCCTCAATTTATTACTAGATGGCAAAACGGTTTGTTACACTTCGTCATCACTATTTATAAATCCTTCTTAATTATAGGGTCCATCTCTAAATATGCATTTAATTGGAGGAGATACATCTATTCATATTTAAGATTAATTAACCTATAAAGTAATCATGTAGGTTGATTAAGACTTAATCTGTCCTTTTTATGCAAGCATTAAACACCAACAATTCTTGATTTTTTTTAACGTCGAATAAAGAGCATAACAACTATGCAATGAAGGATTGAACTTCTAATAAAGCGTCATCATAGGTGCCTTTAAATAGAAGCACCTACTAAACGAAATTATGAATTAATGACATTTAATAATTAAAATGAATATTAAACTCTTGATAATATTAATCGTTTTGCTATTTAATGGAGGTATGCTATTTAGTGTGAAATTCTAGTTCTTACTAGTAAAGTCAAAGAATGCTAAGCTAAATGTGATTCATAAATAAATATCTGTATTTATACATGTGCTTAATCTCAATTGAGATAATCATTGGAAAGTTAAGCCAAATGCAAGAAAATGTGTGATACAGTAAATAAGGAGTGCAAGACTTCTAAATGCTACTTGGAAAGTTGAATGAACAAAGCAATGAAATATTAATATGATTTAAATAAATTCAATAAAACTTTATCACTTATGTAAAAACATTCATTAATTTCCTAAACTAGTCTATCCAGAAAAGTAGTTATTAAATACTTTAGTTAATATGATATTTTTTATTATCCAATTCATAGGTTCCATTTTCTGAAATTCTAATATCAAACAGAAATATATAATACTTTAAACAATTTATTTAAAGTGATACTCTTTTATTATCGATTTAAAGTTTTAATTGACTGAAATTTATAAATACATTTTGAATATTATTAATTTAAATAATTGGAATATCATTAAAAAAATTATTGTTCTACAAATAATTTTACTATTTAATAGAACTAAAACATATATTCTCTAATCAAATTTAATTGAGAATGTGAAATTTCTTAAAGATAACCATTTATTTAAATCAAATTAATGAAAAAATAACTTCTATTATGAATTATTTATTCATAAATTTTTATTTTTATACTCAGATATAATAATTTTGATAATTAATATTAGATATATACAAAATTGTCGATTTTTTTCGAATAATTTCACTTCAACAATCCCATAATATTGTATTCTTTATCATTTCTGTTTATTTCAATAACTTTCTTTCACAAAGCTTGAATAAATCACATTCTAATGCTTATTTACAACTCAAACGGTTTTTAGGATTCACTTCTAAAAGTTAATTCATTAAATTAATAAGTTATGTATCGCCATTAATTCTTTAACCAATTTTTGGTATTTTTCCAAATACTAACTCATGCAATAGAACACCAATACTATAACAATCTACTTTATTATTATATTTTTTTTTATCCATTATTTCTGGAGCCATGTAACCAGGAGTTCCACAATATTAATTAGTTTCTGCTGCTTTAACACAAATTCCTAAATCTGCTAACTTTACTATTCCACTTTGCAATAAAATATTTTCAGGTTTGATATCTCTATGAATAATTCCATTCTAATGCAAAAAACTGACTCCTTTTATAACTTGATATATTATGTCAATTATTTATTTCTCATATAACTTTTTTTCTTTTCTATAATTAAATAATGTTATATCTCCTAATTCTAAAACCAAAGCAATCTTTTATATTATAATATCTTATACTTATTTCTCATCATTTATTACTCCATAACACTTAAGGATATTTTAATGGTTAATTAAACTCTATATTGCTATTTCTGTTTTAATTAATCCTTAAATACCTTTACTGGTTATCAATGATTTTTATATTGTCTTTAATGCTGCAATCATTCCAGTTGTTGTGTCTCTATATTTAAATAATATTAAAATTATACATCACTGAATAAACATCACTTATATTACCTCTCCCTAAATATTTAATCTTTTTAAATCTATTTAATGGAGATTTATAATTCTTTGACATTTACATATAACTATGTTATTTATCGTGACTAGAACTTCTTAATGGAGTAGTCTAACTGTTTGTAGTTGATTGTCTACTATCATGAGAAAAATTAGAAACATTCCTAATAGGTTTAGGTATTTCTATCTTCATTTTTGATTCATTTATGCTTTATTACTTATTTTAACTCTTTATTGCTAATGGATTTGATTTTTTTGAAGTTGATATCAATTGTTTAATTGCTTAAATTTTTTCTCTGTTTTTTTCCAAATTATTTTCATACTGTATACATATTTTTGGTTAAGCGTGTTGATTTTCATAACAAATAGTATCATTACAAAATGATTATTATCCTGGTAATTTATTTTGTGAATTTGAGAAATCTGATGACTAATGATGATATCTAATGTTAGAACTAATATTTTTATAATTATCAATAAATACCAATTCATTTTGAATGTCTACCTAGAAGTCATACTACTATTTTATATCATTTAACACTGACGCTCCATTTTACTTCAATAACAAAAATTAATTAATTTTATTTTTGTAAATTATGGCACACTGACTCAACTGTTTTATAATCCCTCACAAATTATCTGCATATTTAAAATAAAGAAAGAAAGACTTACTATTTAAAATTATAATATTTTTGATTGTTATATTTATGGATGATTATATAAAAGTAGTTAAATTTTAATTTTTTTCATTTACTAATTTAAGAATATTGAATTCATAATTACACTCATCTTATTTAAAGATATTACTATTTTAAATATAATATTAATAAATTTCTAAGGAGTTCTATATTTCAATAATCTAATACTAAACTCTAAATTCAATATATTAATTCTACAATTTATATTATTTTATTATTCCCATCAAACAATAATAATCTATAAAAGAAATTTTCCTCTATTATTGATACTAACAAAAATGTTTCATTTGTTCTTAGAACAATTTTTATAAATGATGATATTAAAATAATCAAAAAGATATTAAAACTTTAATATAAATTTTAGTTTAGAATTGGGAAATGTAAAATAATTATTTAAAAAAAATCCTTAAATTTCATTCCTATCTAATGTTTAATGTTGGTTAAACAAAATCTATTCCTTTTTAAGATCCTGGTGATTATAAAATAAATTTATTTCCTTAATTGTTAATTTAAGGAGATTAATAGTTGGTTAAGACATTATTATTATAAATAAGTTATTAAGGTTTCATTAATTAAGGAGAAGACTCTTAACCATAAATTATGTTGGATTAATAACCCTATTGTATCTGTTAGATTTAATTATTATTGGATACACCTGGTAACCATAATGTTTGTTAGTTTGATTAAGCTAAATTTACAATTTAAGGTTGATTAGGAATAAATTGATTGATTTAATTTTTTTGAGGACTTTGAACAAGAGGTACTTAAGGTGTTATTTATGGACAAAGTTTGACATCTAAATAAAAAGGCTATTCTTATTCTTATAATAATTTGTATGGATCTAAGAATTTCTATAAATTATCATATATATATGAATACTTTTAAATCTATCCAAGATTATCTTTCTTCTGGGTCATCAATTAACATCTTTTAGATTAAACCTTATAGTAATTCTGAATAATTAATTTTAATAGTTTATAAACTTTAAAAAATATTATTCTTTTCCAACTAATTAAATTAATTATAAAATGATTTGAAATCACTTTTTGTAGTTAAACATAGTAAAACTATTCCAAAAGCATAAACATCACTTTTAAAATTATTTATTTATGGAAAACGAACATTTCTTTCTAGTTGATCTATTTATTCTGGGGATAAGATTGAAATGCAATTTTATAAAGCTTTATCATAAGATGAAATTATATTAAAGAGATGATTCACTTCCTAAACTTTTATATAAGATTTACTAATATTTTGAGATTCTTTTCTTATGGATATAATGTATTTAGGCTAATATTACTAATTGATTTAAATTAGTTTTAAAGATATTCAGCACAATCAACTACTTAAAAAATGATGCTCCATAAAGCTGATTCTTAAAAGGGTTTTTACCTTTTCAATCATTATAGAAAAAATACTTTTTTTTCATTAATGTTTCCAAAGTCTCTTCCCCAGGATAATCATAATAAATTCTATATCTATCTTGATCACGACTACAAAAATTTGAGCATTTTTCAATAAACAAAGCTCGAAATAAATTAGGATGATTTAATTTAGTCTTCTCTATAAAGTATTATTAATCCATAAGCTAGAGTGTCTTGCCTAAATTTTTATAAAAATTGTTACTAAAAATCTTGACTTATTCATCTGGAATATATGTATATATTTCTATAGATCCTAAAAGATCATGTTCAATGCATTTATCTTTAATGAATTAATTTTTTAATTAATCATTCCAATCAACCACCATGTTATTCCCCATTAATTGAAATAAAAAAAATAAAAAAATAATAATATTGTCAGTAATTATTAACATTATCTTTAATCATTCTGAATTATTATTAATCTATAATCTATTTTGTTAAGGTATATTTTTCATTTACAGTGTTACTAATATATTCAATAGTTAAATTTAATACTCTTTTACTATATAAAATAAAAACAATATGCAAATAATATACATCTAGATTTCATAAATTTTAATCTTATCAAAATACTTTCTATGATAGTTTCATATATGTATTATGTAATTAAAATGCTTATATATATTACATTCTCTATTTGGTTATTTTAATAATTGTAATTTTTCTCTTTGTTATACTTATTAACAATATGTATATTAAATATTTTAAAAAAGATGCAATTTTTGGTAAAATCTTCAGGAAGAGTGGGATACTTCGGATTTGCTACAGCAGCTGCTACTCATAAGGATATAGCTGGAAAGAATTTCTTAAAATTTTAAAGCAAATATGCAGAATATGTCACTCAATTCAATCAAAAGCTGTAAGAGCATTATCTTTAATCATATAGTGAAGCTATTGAGAAAGATAATAAGGCACCAAATGTTGCACCTCAAGGTAAAGCATTCGAGCATCCATATAATAATCCACATAATCCAGTTAACTTCAGTGGTGTAAGTGTTAAATATTATATCGTAGATTAAATCATCTGAATTGTTTTACAACTTCATTGGACCAGAATAAGTGTCACCACATTATGAAAATTTCCTTGTTGCAAGAAAATATCTTCTTTTAACTTATGGAGGATTGATTGTTATTGGATTTGCAGCAGGCACAACAAATCTTCATTGGATTGCTAAATCATCATTCTTACCATTTTTATTCTGGATGCAAATTATGTATTTCTACTTGGAAGGTCGTAAATCATTTATGAAACCATTACTTGCTAGATTTTACAGAAGAGTAGCTGGAAATGAATGTTTCTAATTAGATTAATATTATCATGAAAATATGTAACTAAAAATTCGTACACTTCTTGAAGCAGCTAAAGGATAGATTGAATATGGATAATTACATAAAGAATTCAGAGATGTTAAAGCAGAATTAATTAATACAGTATTTATTAAAAATTTATATTATTTAGTTTCTTATGAATGAATAATTAAATCTATAGAGACATGTTGTTGAGAGATCATAAAACATTCTTAAATAAGTTTAATAATCAGAATAAGTAATATTATTATAAGATAATATTAAATTAGATTAATTAAAATAGATTATTATAAGAAATTATTGAAGCTGCTTAAAAGTCCTTAGAAACTAATTTGAAGAATAATCTTCCAGAAATCTAAAAGGCATTATTTAAATCTGCTCTAAAAGGTTTAGCATAAGGAAAAATGACTTATGAAAATGATCCTTTAATTGAGATGATACTTAAAACAATTAAAGAACATGTTAGTAAAATATAAAATCTATCTCCTGCTGAGTAAAATTTTGATTAAGATTTTCTAGATAGAAGAAATTGATTTCACTAAGTAAAGATTAATTAGCAGCTATCTAAGCAAATGATAAAAAGTAAATATTATTAATAATAATAAAACAGAGCAAAGGAAGATTTCTTAAGAGCTGAACCTAAGATCGATTAAACCTTAAAAAACTATGAAAATGTGAAGAGATAAATTGCTTCATGGGGATAATGAAAGTGAGATTTATTCATGATATCAGCATAAATTATATAATATCATTTATAATATAGATTATATATAGTCCTAAATTTTATATTTATCTCAAAAATCTAATCTTTATTTTTTTTATATTAACATTTCATTTCAGATATTATATAAGGTCTCCTTATTAACTTATAAATTAAATGTAATAATACTGGATTGAATATACATAAAATGTCTAATTATAAATATTAAATTATGCCATTAAACTAACCATTCAGATTATTTTCTATAAAAATAATCAAGATCATTAGGATGCTGAAAATGCATAAATTTTAATCGATAATTTATAGATATTAAATTGCCTCTCTCATTATAAAGTATGTAATGTTTGTGAAACAATAGATTTGATTAAATAATATCTAAAACATTCATACTGAACGATTTATATTAATAGTATAGATTTTTTTAATAAAGGGAATTAACAATTTGAATATACACCTTAAAACATATGAATTAGAAATCTCAAGGGTAGATTGAAATAATACTAATTCAAATTTAACACTATTAAATATAATTTAAAGCATGAATTTACATTTATGCTTTGAATCTGTATTTCACTTTATATTTAAATATAAAAATGTAATCTGCCAATACTTAAACAAATACTTAAAAAAATATTTTTAGTGATATAAAGATGAGGTCTAGAGGAACATCAATGGAGAAATTTCAAGAAAACAATAATGCTTAATTGTTGTTTACAAACTAGAGATTACGCACACAATTTGCAATCAGTAAATAAGGCAGTGAGGGAAATATTGTTACAATGAATAATAGAACATAAAATAAAAAGCCCACTTTAAAAATAACTACTCGCATTTACAATAATTATTTACTTAATGGTGGTAGACCAAACAAAAAGAAATCCCTTCCCATACTCCAGATCTCACCAAAACCCTTGCCATTATTTTTAATACCAAACAGTAAATCCTCTTCATAGAAGGCTTGTACTACACGAACATGTTCTTAAGCTGATATAAAGAAATTTTAATTCAAAACACTATTTAATGATATATGATAAATAATTTTTTATTCATAAAATAATGTCTTCATCAAAGATTCTATACTATCCATCCAGATCTAAAGTTACTGTTGGCGGTAGTGCTAAATGAGCACTTTCACCAAATAGAGCTAACATTTCTTAATAATCAGAAAAATTATCAACTTTTAACACTAAGTTGATGAGGAAGGACTAAGCTGTATAATAAAATAATTAATTAAGTTTTAAAAAGAGACTTTCTACATAAAGTTAAGATGATGATTCTAAATTTAAATTATTAAGAGAATCATTATACAAAATTGAGAAAGGAGCTTAAAATGAAAAAATAATTTCAGAATAATAATGAAAGACTGGTGATGAAAAAAGTAACTGTAGAAAAGAATTTATTTGAAATTGGAGATGGGGTTTTATCAATATAATAAGAAGTTGAAGAAAGAACAAAGACACATGTTGTTGTTAGCATTATTTTTAGGGAGGAGTAAAACCAAAATTCTATTAAAAAAACTTGGAGATTCTATTTTGAAATTATAAGAAATCTTAAGTTATGAGAAAAAATAAAGATAATAGGCTCCAGGCTCGATGTTTAGTTGGATTAGATGAATAATAAAAGTTTAATAAAATTAATTGAACAAACTTTTAATAGATTTGAGAATTCATTAAGAAAATGAAATAAAAAACATTCTGATTTCTATTTTATTTATAATTGTTATTCTTTTTTATGAAAATTAAGAAATTTGATTACTGTTAAAATTCTTATTAAAGTATTCTATTTTATTGTTAAATAAATGAATATTAAATTCATTGAAGCCAAACGTTTAAAAGAGATCGCTTATTTTATTAATCAACAGAAAACTCTGAGTTTCAAGTATCTAACTACACCTTCAATTACTTTACGAATGATCTAATATAATAGAATATCTTTAGAAATTAATATAATTGGAATTGAAAACGGATGGCTATATTAACGTTTTATTTTAAAAAAAAGTGTACTTTTCCATTAGTAGATGGTTTATTTTGACTATTTGAACAATACAATTTTTGTAAAACTATTTACTCATTATAGATAGTTAAAAAATGAAATGCTTTCTTTTGAAATTAATTCAGAATTTAAACTATAAAAAAAAAAAAAAAAATATGTCATTATTATTGTTAATTAGTAGTAAATATATATTTCATTATATATGAGTGTTGATGTCACCATTAATGATAAAATTATATATTTCAAAAATGCAGGTGACTTTTCTTTTTTATTATTGTTTTTTTTTATAATAGATTTTACTCTGATTTACATACAAAAATAAAATTTGTGAATAATTTACTTAAGATTGAAGAGAAATCATTAATTAATGACCATTATATAAATAATTTGTGAAAGATGATGTTTAGGAAGTTACGTCCTTTGAATAAGTTATAAATGGATATTCATGATTAAATGTGATCATGAATGGCAAAATTGTTGTTTCAAATATATTTAGCAAAACTGAATTAATGTTTTAAATCATAAATTGAACCTTTTTTGGAAGAATAGAGAAATAATTATATGTAATTACTTTATTAATAATGTGAAACTTGTTTGCATAGGAAATTTAACTAATTAGAAATGTAAAGGATATAAAAAATTAGAAATTTTACTTATGGAATATTTTCTAGAATGAATTTGAGATTAATGATTTAAAAATAGAAGAATATTCTTAAAAAAGAATATAATATTAAAGAATTAGAAATAATACTTCTAATTCTCAAAACTAACCTTATAATCTAATGTAGTAACTATCGTGAAAGATTCTAGCCTATTTTTGGAAGTACCTATGAAATCTAGATTATAAAAAATATTGAAAAAATAAAATATAATATATAAAATCCTAATCTGATTGATATATCAATAAATCAGAATGGATTTACGAGTTCTTAGTACTATCCAAGTATTTTAGACAAACAAATATTAGGTTAGGCTGTTTCATATGTATCTTAAAGTTTGATTTATAATTTTTTTTTTTCTAGCTAGTAAAATTCACTTGAAGGTCCATCTGTAGTAAGCAAGAATCTTAAGAATTCTCTTTACAAACGTGATCGATTTATTGTTTAACTTTGAATACAATCTCTTGATTTACTCTTTCTTAATTCAATTTTATCAAGAACCACAGTATTCTGTTTTGACACATCAGCTGTTGACTTATTTTCTATAAATTTAGGATTAAGGGAACATTAATTCAGATGCTTAATAAGTTCATCTGGGCTCTAATGCTTTCCATATTTAAAAAATGTAGATTTTCTTTTCATAAAATTCAGAACTTAATTAATTACTGAAATTCTAATGAATATTAAAAGCCTTATGAACATTAAACAGATGTTTAATGAATATTCCAGAATTATTTTAAAAGTAGCATGAAATATATATTTAAACATAAATTTGAACATAATTTTATACAAACTTTTCATTCATAATATTCATATTTTACATAAATTATGTTTAATTAAATATAAATTTCTCCTTGATCATATTTCATAAAGAAAGTTGCAATTAATGTTTTATTTTATGAAAAAACAAATAATTGATATCTAAAATGATTTAATCTATACATAGAAAATTTGATTGAAAATTTTGATTGATTTTTTATTAATTTTTTATTAAAGTTAATATTATTGACCTTTTTATAATTATTATATTATTTATGAAAATCAAGAAAATTTTTCCTGCCAACACTCAAAACTAATACTCAGTTATTTAATACGAATAAGACAGTACAACTGTTCTCAGACTACATTAATCTACTTATTCTAAACCATAACTTTCTCTAGTTCCAAGCGAGGCCAGTCAAAATTACTACTAAATTATCGAAAAGAATAAGTTATAGTATCTTGAATACTATACTCAATTTAACGAAATGAGATTCATGGAAAATATGGCAGGTTTTTAGAATTAATAACTTAAGGATTAAAATCAAAATAGTAAAAATAAGTCCTTTTAGAAAATTTTCTCAATATGTTTGAAGATATGATCTCATGTCTAATTGTGATCTAAAATACTTTACTTCTCATTAATTTTGATAATCCTGACTTTTCCTAAACTTACAGTGTTTCTCCTAATATGATGGTCGACATATTATTTAAAGACATTAAAGTAAGTTTCATATTATAATTTTTAGACATTAGAAGGGTTACATTTGGAAATACAATACGCTTCATCTCTTAGATATTTAGAAACAGTATTAGAGGCTCTAGAATTCAATTCATAGCTTTTTTAGAAAATTCATCAATTAGATATCAAATAATGGTCTCAAAAGTGTAATAATTATCTCAATAATTTTACAATTGCCAAATAACAAATTAATAATTCTTAACGATCTTGTTGTTGTTTTAAATGAATTAAGTTTATTTATATATTGATATATTTATGATAATAAATTATGCAACTATCTAATAACCTAAATAAAAATAATAGAAGCCTAAAATTCAATATTATTTTTTTGAATCAAACATATTTATTAAGAAATTATTCTAAAAAAATATCATTTTTACTTCATTAATAATAAACGCTTAAAATTTCAATAAATTATAATAAAATAGAAGACAATGATAAAATTAAATATATTAGTCATTTCTTGAATTTATTTTACAAAATAAAAACCAGAACTTATTTATTAAGTTATGATTATGTTATTTCATTATTCTCATATAGAGATAACTTTAATTATAGATGTATAAAAATTATTTAAAGATTATAAACAGATTTTATTACTCTATCTATGAGAATATCCAAATAAAAATAATTGATAGGAATGGAAAAAAAATAATTGATATGGAATAAAATGAAATATAAATATTAAATGTAATTCATGAGTGAGTTTATTTCAAGTCTATTAAAGAGTACAAATTTAAATAAATTTTAAGTTTGTTTAAAATTAATTTAGATTATTTAGGTTAGAGATTTAGAATTTAGATTCACTCTAATTATATTGAAAAAACACAAAAGAGTATTTAATATTAAGAATTGGATTAAAAATGCAATTTATTATTTATTAATTAGAAATAACAATTCATATAAATCAGTTAAAATGAAAGATCTGCTAAGATTCTATATTTAATGAAAAATTTGATTATATTTATACTTTTAAGTTTAATTATTTTGTGATAACTAAATTTATTTAATACTTTAGATTAAATAGAGAAAATCATATAAATCTGAATTAAACAATGATATGATGAAATACTCATATTTAATAATTAAAATAAAATTTGTTAAAAAAATGCATACATTGCCTGCTATTCCTGTCCCACTTTATAAAATCATATTTTTTCTTTAGCCTCTCAAATATCTTTTTGGTGATCAATTACCATTGCTTCAGGAATCAATGTTTCCATGGTTTAGTGACCGATTGAAGACAGAATTAAATTCTGAGGGAGATGAATTATGGAAAAAGGTATTCAATACTTTCAAGGGACCTATTATATATTATTGTTTAATAGTTCAAATAACAGTGATTATAAAGATTAGTGTATCTTATTTATTAAAAGTTACTTTAGAAAGTATGGATTCATGGAATGCTATCTTTTTGGGTGCATTATTATTAAGTTAGGTAATTTTTGAATAGCACTATTTTTAAAATATTTATTAGATGTCAGCAAAGATTAGAGCTTCTTTAGCATAAATGTTATTAGCTAAATTATAAAGAATATCAACATCAAGATTAAAAGATGGATAATTTTTTAACATAATAACAATGGATATTGCTGATCTTGATTTAACATGGTTGTTAGCATTTAGTGGTGCTCCAATAATATGTTGTGTAGGTATTTACCTATTATTCACATATTTTGGATTTTCATCAATAATTGGTGTTATAACATTATGTTGTTTGATGATATTTTAAAAGCATATAACAACAAAAACAGGACCATTGAAGTAATAAAAGAGTCTAATTTAAGATGAAAGAACAAAGTTAACAGAAGAGATTTTAAATAATCTTCCAAAAATAAAAATGTTAGGATTAGAATAAATTTTTAGAGATAAATTATTGGTTAAGAGATAAGAATAAGATAATAAGATGAGAGAAATCTTAAAGATTGATGCTCTAGCATATTGTTTTAATGGTAATATCAATGTGTTTGTAAGTTTATTCTTGATGTTGTTTACTTATAAAATATTTAATGATGATTATCCCTCTCCAGATCAAATTTTTAGTTCAATTTGGATTCTACAATTATTTAAAGTTTGGTGTATTACTTATGGATAGAGAGCTTATAAATTGATTATCAATTTAAGAGTTTTACAATAAAGAATTAATGATGTTCTTTGTATTCCAGAAATAGAACCTAAATTATTGAATACAAGATAACCAACTAAAAAATAAAAGAAATATCAATAAATAGAAGAGGAAGAAGCAGCATCTTTGGATACTTTAGAGGAATCACGTTAAGGTCAAATAGAGATTATAAATTATAGTGCATATTGGACAAAATTATAAGAAATGTAAAATCAACCAATATTAAATAAGATAAATTTAAAATTAGATAAAGGAACATTTATTATTATACGAGGTGCAGTAGG